AATATGAATTTTATGTCAATACTACACTGAGTATGTCTATATTCACACGATGATTTCACTCACAAAAACCGCTAGGACTTATTTGCCAACCCGACATGATGGATTACAAAAACCCATAAACGCTTCTTGTAAAGTAATTCAAGTCATTTTTTTTTTCAGGGAAACACGATTCAGATTAGCTTCTTAAATACAAATTTATTTTAATTTAAAAAAACTAAAATTTTTAGACCTAATTTTATGGGAGGATATTTTTTAATGCGGTTCAGTAAAATATTTTTTAACTCTTTTAAAAAATATTTTTTATTTTTAAAAAATAATATTCGACAAATAAATGTTTCTCCTACTACTATAAATGTTACTAAAACCTTTGGCAAAGTAAATTATTTCAAAACCACATCAATAACTTTTGATTTTACGCCTTTATAAGGAATAAATAATGGAAAACTCCCCAAACGTTTTTCTTTTTTATCTCCGAGCCTAAATGATTTGCGGGAATCGGGTTTGTGTATATTTTGGGGACCTAATTTCATGTTAATGTTCGTGCCAACCCAATACATAGGAATCGGTTTAATACATTTTTTTTTTTTTTTTAACTTTCTTTATTGAATATTAATACATTCTGCCACATTGAAGGGCATTAATATTAAGGCTACATGATTCATTCACACAATTTGTACATACAATTAATATCAATAATAAAGAGAAAGAAATATAAAAAAAAATAAAATAAGTAAATTGGTATGCCTGTGTACAAAAAAAAAAATAAAATGAAATAATAGATAAAAGCTAGATGAAATTAAAGTAAATAAATCACATTCACACCTATGTACAATATTTACATTCACCCAGCGGACTCTGAGTCATGCCTTATTCCCCGACGTGGAAGCCAAGGCAGGAATCAAGGAGATCCCAGTGTTTCTCTCTCAGCCGCGTCACTGTTATTTGAAACCAGTGGAAACTGATGGAGGGCACTATAGCAACAGACGCTCATGTCTTGAGTGGAGAATCTGGCCATTGCCAGTACTCCAATATATACATATTTACAAAAGGTCGCGGGGCCACTGCCGTTTTAGCCTCCGGGGACGATTGTAGGGATGGCTGGAGCTAGATAGGGATTGTGCTACAGGATTTGGATGATGAATGAGTTTCTAGTGAAATTTGGAAAAAATTTCTGGGATTATGTCAATAATAAAAGGCATATGAAGGTCATTATGGAGGGTTTTGTTGGCTACATAGAAGGGAGCATCGACTATTGTTCGGAGGATTTTAGACTGGAAGGATTGAATGCGTTTGATGTTAGAAAGTTTTGCTGTCCCCCACAGTTCTATTCCGTAGGTCCAAATAGGTTTCAGGATTGTCTTGTAGATTAATAGTTTGTTGTCGACTGAGAGTTGAGATTTTCTATTCAATAGTCTATATAGTTGTCCGCATCGTCTTTTAAGTTGTTGTCTTTTAAGTCTGGTGTGTGGGTTCCATGTTAGTCTTTTGTCTAGAATAAAGCCAAGATACCGGACTGTGTCGGACAGAGGAAGTGGTATGGAGTTGAAGTAGACTGGTGGACAGGAATTGCGTCGAAGAGTAAAAGTAATATGTTTGGATTTGGATTCATTTACTTGGATTCGCCACTTATTACACCAGTGTTCAATAAGAGAGAGGTGACTTTGTAGGTTTAAGGATGCTATTTCAGGATCTGGATATGCCAGGATTGTTTCAGGATGAGTAGGAATATCAGCGGTAAACAGAATGTAGAGGACGGGACCCAAGACGCTACCTTGAGGAACTCCCGCCTTGATTGAATGACAGTTGGAGGATTCTGTACCATAGCGAACTTGAAAGGAGGGGTCAGAGAGGTAGGATCGGAGGATAAGATATAAGGAATGGGGTAGATGGGATTTGAGTTTGAAGAGCAGTCCGGCTTGCCATACCCGATCAAAAGCTTGCGCAATGTCCAGGAATGCCCCCGAACAGTACTCTTTGCTTTCTAGGGCTGAAGATATGTGGTCAACAAGTCGGAGTCCTTGTTGGACAGTGGAATGTTGGAAGCGAAATCCAAATTGGTGGGTTGGAAAGTTTTGGGATTCTAGTATGGGTAGGATTCTTTTCAGTAGGATTTTTTCAAAAATTTTGGAAAGGATTGGGAGTAGGTTAATCGTCTATATGATGATGTATTATTGGAAGGTTTGCCAGCTTTCAAGAAAAGATCGATGGTGGAATGTTTCCATAAGAGAGGAAAATGGGTAGTTCTTAGGATGCAGTTGTATATGTATGTGAGGAATATGATTGCTTTGGGTGGTAGTTGATGAAGGATCTGTGGGGTTAGAAGGTCGTATCCAGGAGATTTGCGGGAAGATAGTTTTTGTAAATGATATTTGACCTCAGATGGATGAACTGCTTTTGGTGGTAAAGAGAGTGGAATTGATGAAGAAAGGAATTCTTCTACTACTGTAGTGTGGGTCGGATTGGATTCGGGATGAGGAGTAAATGTACTGGAAAGGTGTTAGGCGAATTCCTCAGCTTTGTCTTCATCAGACGCCGCCCAGGAGTCATTACTTCGACGGAGGGGATGGTAAATATTATGGGTTTTTAGGATTTTTTTTATGATATTCCAGAGGGAGTTGTCGTGAGCAGAGAGGTAAGGAAGGAGTTAAAGGATTGGGATTTGAAGTTGGATAATTCTTGCTTTAGTGGTTTACAGAGATAGTTATAGGAGCTGCGGTCAGTGGGATGTCTGGTACGTTTCCATAACAATCTGGCACGGAGTTTGGTATGGATTAGGTCGAGGATGTGATGAGGTAATTTATTTTTCTTTGGAGTTCTAGGGGAATGATTAGGAGAGGAGGCAGTCCAGACTGCTTGTTGAATGATGGTGGTTAAGGAATGTACAGCATTGTCAAGGTCTTCTGGGGTTTTCAGGGTTATTCTGAGGTCAATTTGATCGGAAAGGATTTGATGGAAGAGTTTCCAGTTGACTGGGCCTCTGATGAAGGACTGTGGAGAGGGTTTGGGAATAGGAGCTAGTGATACTTGGAATATTAATGGACTGTGGTCTGAGGAAAGTTCATCAAGGCGTGCAATGGAATAGTTTAGGCGACCTAAACCACTATGGATGAAGAAATCAAGGATATCGGGATTACGGTTAGGATCAGTGGGCCAGTAGGTAGGTGAGTTCGGGGGAGCGAGGTTGAAATGTTGGGAGTTGAGTGCAGACAGCAGTGTTCGACCTCGAGAATTCGTTGTTCTAGAACCCCATTGCTGATGCTTGGCAATAAGTCTATAACCAGGATGAAATGGTGTCCTAAGGAATTAAGGAAGGAACTAAATTGGATATTAGAGGTGGATTGGTTGGGAGGGCAATACGCTGATGCTAGGGTAATAGGAAACGAGAAGGTTTTGATTATGATAGCAGTGGATTGTAGGAAATCGTGAGTAGGTAATGGGAGTATGTGATGAGAGAGGGATTGGTGTACAATGACTGCAGTGCCGGCATGAGCTCTACCGTCTGGATGGTCAGTAAGATATGTTGAGTACTGAGGTATATTTAAAATTTGTTTTTTGGTCAGTCGAGTTTCTGTAATAAGGGCTACATCGACATTCTTATCTCGCAATAAAGCTGTTAGTTCGTCAGTGTGGTTTCTAACACCATTCGCATTCCAAAGGAGAATGGATAGGGGTTTGATGGAATTCATTTAAGGATTTGTTAAAGGAGGGATGAGGTGAGATACGAGATTTGTAAGGAGATATATCAGTGGGGTGACGAGGGATTTGAATTCGGTGAGAAAAGATGCCAACAAACTGGTAAGATCAGTGGCTTGTGATGGAGGAGGAATATAAGGAATTTGATGTTGATGAGGTTGTTGAGAGTTTTGTACATTAGGAGGGATAGGGTGTTGGAGTTGGGATTGGGGTTCCTGTTGCGTCAGGGCCTAACATTTATCAGTCAGGACTCTACCCCCTAGTAACTGAGAATAAGATACTCTAGAGTCTACTATTTTAGCTGGCCCTCTTCTGGGTTTAGAAGTTTCTTCTGTGTTCCGGGGTTTATGAAATCTATTTTTGATATTTTTATACACCTGGCAGCCCTTGTAATTAGCAGGATGTCCTTCTAAGCATAAAGCACATACTGCAGGAGTAGTTTTCAATTTCTTGCACTCACCAGTCTTGTATGACTCTCCGCATTTCACGCATCTTGGGATGTGGTGGCAGTATGTTTTGGTGTGTCCATATGCCTGGCAATTGTGGCACTGGACGATTTCTCTGTTAGTGTATGGTTTTTCAACCTTGACACTTGTATAATATAATCTGTTGATTTTATATATTTTTTCGACTCCTGCTGAGGATTCTAAATAGATGAAAAATAGAGGTAATGCTATCTTTCTATTATTTGCTCCAGAAACGTCTCTGTCGTCCTTCATACATTGGTGACCTGTCGAACTTTGAAACCTAGGGCCGTCAATTCTTCTTGGATCGCCTCGACTGGAGTAGAGGGAGTTAATACAATTAAAAATATGTTTTTCTTATTTTAAACAAAAAAAATAAATCAATTGATCCTGGTTTCAATAAAAAAGATTCAGTTAAATCGTTGAATCCACGTTCGTAATACTCTCCCTCCCCTTGTTAGTGAGCAATGTGTTTCTGCAGCGGATTTCATTTAGATATAGAATCAGAGATAGGAAACTGCTACTCTGAGTACCGAGCAATTTTACTCAAATTGAATGACTATTGTGAATCAATAGCTACTTCAGCTAAGCGTTTGAAATAAAATGAAGTAGTAACTAAATTCCGTGGTACTCAAAAAAGTTCAAAGGTATTTAAGTAAAATACTTAGTACTCGGTACTCAGAGTATCATTTGCCAATCTCAGGATAGAATATTCGTTTTATATGTTTATATTTCAATATCTATGTTCCTTCAAACTACAGACCATATTCTTATAAATAAGTTAACAACTTTGATTAAAATTATTAAAAAATACATATAATAGAAGTTATAATAATCACTTACAATTCAGGAGGATTAGAGCAATGAGCTGCACTCAAGACATATCTTGCCGTAATCAGAGTCCCACCACATCTCCACTCTTTCTGGAGTTTATAACCGATTAAAACCTACATTGTTGAAACATTTTGTAAATATCAAGAAAATTTCTAAAACAGCTAAAAAAAAAAAGTTTAAATATTGATTATATTTATCAGAGATCAATTCATTGGCACGAAGCCAAAAAAATTGAATCTGAAAATGTATTAAGGTTTAACAATTATGTTTATTATTATTAAATGGCACTACATCCCAATTATTCGAGACTTGGCCTGCTCCAGCATGGATCGCCAGTTCTCCCGGTTAGTTGCTGCAGCCTTCCAATTTCTGACACCAAGTAGCCTACATGCATCAGCAGCGACACAGTCTTGCCAGCGCAAACATGGTCTTCCCACTCGTCTGTTTCCAAACACAGGCTCATTCATAGCTCCATGTCCTGTCCAGCGTAGTCTTGCCAGTACGATGAATTGGCTTACACCCTGGTCATTAAATAATGTCTTTATTACTAAATTCATTCTCCTCCACCGATTCTGTGGTGTTTCCTGGAACCCTCCAAATATACGTCGTATAATCCTCCTTTCAAATCTGAGCAGGGATTTCTCAACTGCTTTAGTTAAGGTCCAACTCTCATAGCCATATGTAAGCACTGGTCTAATAAGAGTTTTATATATTCTTATTTTGGCCTGTCTTGACAACATTGTACTGCGAAGATGTCTCTGGAGGGAGAAATAGCACCGATTAACCACTGCGATCCTCCTGTCTTTCTCACAATCAATAATATTTCATGCATTTGTCAATGAACGAAGATATACGAATTCGTCAACATTCTCGATTCCATACTGTTCCAGCCATGCTTGGTTTTCCCTTGTTAGACGTGAGGATAGGGTGGACATATATTTTGTTTTGGACGCGTTAATAATAAGACCAATTTCGGCTGCCGACTCTTCCAGGCTTGTAAAAGCCGCAAACGATCTTCCCATTATATCAATATCGTCCGCATATCCAAGTATTTGGGTCATTCGATTTAGTAGGATTCCTTTAGTCTGGATACCAGAGTCTCTTATGACCTTTTCAAGGGTAAAATTGAATACCAGACATGCCAGAGCGTCTCCCTGCTTTACACCTGTCGATGTTCTAAACCCCTTTAACAAGTCACCTTGTGCTCGTACGAAACACTCATTACCCTCCATTGTCATTCTAACAAGCCTTGCAAGTTTTGTAGGTGCATTCATTTCTATCATTGCTTTGTATGTTTGCTCACGATTTATGTTTGAAATGACTATTGCAAACATACTTATTTGAATTGCTCTTATCGTGTTGTATAAAGTTTACCTCAATCTCTTTATTTTTTAACCACATGCAGTTATTGATCCGCACCTGTCAATTACAGCCATCGACAATCAGCATTTGGGATGATAAAGAGATAAATAATATAGTCATAAATACAAGAAAAATATTTAAAAAAGGCTTGATAGGCACAAGGAAATGAAAAGAAGCAAGGAAAATACCCAGCGGTACCCCTTCCATTGGTTTTTCTTACATAATTATGTAAGTAGGTCCTCACCCAGACCCTTTTCAGTCGTTTTTTCCAGTTATCCGGCATAATAGTTGTAACCAAGATTAAGGAAGTTAAAAAAAAAAACTCGACTCTCTTTTGTGTCCTATGACAGATTACTAATTGATATTTCAGCATGTGCATGTGTTCTTACATCTTATATCTCTTGTATCTTGACTACCTTTTCTTGATGTTTGGATGTGGCATGCCATACTATTGTATATAGAATAAGTATCTTCTTTTTATTATTTGTATTATCTTTATTATCTTAATTATCTTTTATCTGTTTATCTTTAATTGTATATAGTAATTACGTTTAAATTCTCTCTTTTTCCTTTTATTTTATTTCTTTTTATTGTACTTAGTATTAATTCTGTAAATATTTCTTTCTGTAAATAGATATGTTAACCTTTTTGCTGCTTTATAAAAATATCCAACCTAACCCCTTCTCACCTGGGCTAGCATGGTAGAATAAATATTAAATGATGGCCAAATAATGAGTGAAATGAACCATTAAAAGAATGGTAAGTCTTACCATATAGGTATGTGTCCTGGGAGCAGACTCATTACCACCATATACTTTTCTGAACTCCATGATTTCGGGGTTTTCACGATCCCTCGGCGTACAAACTGTAAGCAAATAACACCAACGTACTGATGGATACCACAATCATTTGAATTAGTGACTCGTTAATTCATTGTATCAATAGTAATAATTGTAAAACTAATTTTTAAAATGTTAGTAATGTTCGAAAAAAAGAAGAAATTATTACACAATGGTTTATTATTTCCAAACAGTTATAATACATATGTAACACTACTTTCCTCGTCACATAGACGAAAATAAATAAAAAGTGATTAATGATATTGGCACACATTACAACTAAAGGTTAACTATCGTAGATAATTAAATTTATTACTCTGTTTTATATTCCGTTTGGTTTATTATTTTCAATAATGAACCATTGTGACCGACAACAAAATTAAAAAACTTAACCCTCTCTCAAAATTTGAGGTTTCACATTTCAGGATACGTAGAATTCGGAAAACGAATTTTTTTTTGTCCGTCCACCGTCCCCTTATTTTCTCCGAAACCATGGACCGATTTTTTTCAAATCTGGATATAAAATCAGAGCTAACCCGAGGATGACCCTCCCTTCATCGGCATTACTATCCGCCTTATACTTTCAAAATTGCGTCCGAAAAACCTGCGTTGCTATAGACTGTAGCGCCTGAACGAATGTACCGATTTCAATGAAACTTCGTTAAAGTCCTTTTCTTGACGCTCTTTAAATTTATATATATAACATAGTTCAACGAAAAGAAGCTGGAAAAAATTACGAGGGATTGTAAAATTAAAATTCGAATAACTCAAAAAGTACACAGTTTTTTGTGAATATTATCATAAGATGTTTCAATGGTATTTACATTTCCTAAAAAAAAAGTCTTTAAAATCGGACCATTAGGAGATATGGTCTCCAATTTTGGTGATATTGTACGAAAACAAGTACCAAATGTTAGCTGTGTTCACACAGATAGCCGAAATGTGTTAGCAGTTGTTGTTTGAATAGAAAACTCCGACTTCTATAAACTAGCAAATAAAAATGGTACCCTCAAACAGCTTTACACAAGTAATAAGTTTGTAATTTGTAAAGAAAAGTTATTTCCCATGCATGATATTTCTTTTCAAGAAATGTCGCTGAGTGAAGCAGCTGTAGCTAATTCAAGAAGTGGGGGACACAGGTATACACGTCATTGCAAAACGAAGTGTTCCACAAATAAATTCAGTTGTAAAAGCAAGGGTCACTTGGGCAATTCAAAGTGTCATATTAGTTTAAGTTGTTATATAAGATTTGAATCACATGATCAAGTAATGTCTTAGAAAGAGAGGAGAAAAAGATTCGTCATGCTTGTGATGTTTTATAGCGACTAAGTTACGGAGAAGAAACTATAAATCTCTGACATGTTCAACATTCACTTTTAGTGCATGGTAAATGTCGACATTTACTGGTGTAAGTGAGAAATAAAGATATTTAGCAAATATTTCGGGCATACACCAAGCGGCTATGTGAATGTTGACATTCTCCAGATTTCAGTCTTTCAAGGTAACTTATATAAAAAAGGCTGGTGAGCGCAACACACAACTTTCACCAACCCCTCAACTTTGAATAGAAATTATTTTCTGGCCATGTTGGGCTATTATAAAATAAAATTGCATTCTGAACATTCTGAACTAAGCCTAAAAAAAATACAGCTAACAAATCATAAATACCATTACAATAATTTTTTTTTTTTTTTTTTATTGGTGATATTTACAACTGTATTACAAGTAAAAATACATTCAGTAAATGTGAACAAAGGAATAAAATACCATGAAATCACATGTTGAGAAACTACCCATTGGTAGCACTCTAAAAATGTATTTACAAAAGGAGATCTCGAGGCCATCTTCTTTTCAGACGCCTCTGAGGGTTGTCAGGGATCGAAGAGGAAGCAAGGTTAGAAACGAGAGGGTTTGGATGGTTCTGAAGTTTGTTATGGAAGGATAGGTATCTGGATTGGGCCAAGTCAGAAACATAAGGAACATTAAGGTCGTTATGGATGATTTTGTTTGTGACAAAGTAAGGAGCAGTGAGGATTTTACGAAGGATTTTGGATTGTAAGGATTGAATACGAGAGGAATTCGATGGCTTACTGGAGCCCCAGAGCTCAACTCCGTAAGTCCAAATAGGTCTTATTGTAGTCATGTATATGAGTCTTTTGTAATTGACTGGGAGGTTAGAGCGTTTATCTAGTAAGTGCTGGAGTAGTCGGAAACGTCGAGCTGTTTCTTGTCGTTTCAGTCTGGTATGAGGATTCCAAGTTAGACGTTTGTCTAAGTGGAGTCCAAGGTATCGAATTTGTTCAACAGGAATAAGTGGGGTATTATTAAAGGATACTGTAGGACAAGAGGACATAGGTTTACGACGAAGGGTAAAGGTGATTTGATGGGATTTATTGGAATTTATTTTTATTCTCCAGTTTTGACACCATTCTTCAAGGTTTGTGATGTGTGATTGAAGGGTTTGGGATGCAATTGTTGGGTCATTATTAACTGATAGGACACATGTATCATCGGCGTACGTGGTAATGACTGTGTTAGGATGGGTTGGGATATCAGCTGTATAAACTGTGTAAAGGATAGGACCTAGGATACTACCTTGAAGAACACCAGCGGACTGGGAAAAAAGGGATGAATAGGCATTATTATGTTTACAATAATAAAAGTTCTATTTGATATATCACCGGTTGATTATAGATTGTACGATCCATTGATTATGGATTGCACGATCCGTTGATTATGGATTGTACGACTATTATTTATCAAACTGTTATTTTCCATTGCAAAGTTTAGTAAAACGGAATCCAGAGATTTACATTGTCTGTTATAGACAGGTAAAAAGTTGTCACACTAACTGTAAGTGGGTATAGTGGGGGGGGGGGCTGTTTGAACATCACAAAAGGCAATTTCATCAAACTGTTCACTAATTTAATTTTCTAAAAGGTTACATAATGATTTTTCGGAATAAACGGACGATAGATGCCTAAATATTTAAATATAATATGAGTTCTAGAGTTATTAAACTACAGTAAATATATTTAAGGTTATCAACGTATCTATGAAATATTGTTTTAATGCACTTATTCTATCACACAAGTACAATGAAATACTAGTTAACATTGTTGAAATGTCACAAAGGGAAGATTCGTCAAATTATTCACTAATTTAATTTTATAAAAAGTCACATGACATTTTTTCGGAATAAATGGACGTTGATACCTACTTATTTAGATATAATATCAAATCTAGAAATATTAAACTACAGTAAATGTATTTAAGGTCCAGTGTAAGGTATGTGATGAAAGCCAATTTATTGTTATGATTTTTCTCCGATATTTTATAAAGATTTTATATGAAACTGAAAAACTAAATACTCTTACAAAAAAAAAATACTCTTACATTGCTCAAACTTGTTTTCCCGGTTAAACCTCAAGCTCATGCTGGTGGGACAGCAGACGATCGGTTCAAAGCCTTTGAAGCCACAGAACTGAGTGCGGTTCGCTATGTAGTCTCTGAGGATCCCGCATTGCCGGAATAAGGTGCAAGTGCCTCGGCCACCGCCGAAGGGCGTGCATTCGTCTCCTGTGAACAATAAGAATGTTAGAACGAATACATGCTTCAGACCAGATGTATATACATATCATATATATATCAATTATAGCCAGATAATAGGTCGTGAAATACACGTAAATAAGTTAAAACAATTCTGTTTATTCTTTTTATTCAAACGTTTCATTCCCTGTTTTTTTTTTTTTATATAAATAATTAGATCCTCTTCAGTTCTGGAAATTTCATACATTTCAACAATATTGAGCATCGATACCCCAAGCCGGGCAGCATGCTGACAGACCCAACAGTACCGGCACAAGGACATCAAGCTACTGAGTCCGCGCTGCGCGCACTCCGATCCTGGAGTCCGAGAATAATACCCATACCAACAATAACAGTGTCCACAACAATATCTGCTTGGTTGTAATTAAAATTTCCAAATTAAATCATTAAAATTGCTACAGTAATTAATTAAAACAATCTTACATGTATTTTACACTAATGTCTAATGCTGAAATTTAAATCAGATTACAATAAAAAAAAATATATATATATATATATTCAGTAGCTTGATGTCCTTGTGCCGGTACTGTTGGGTCTGTCAGCATGCTGCCCGGCTTGGGGTATCGATGCTCAATATTGTTGAAATGTATGAAATTTCCAGAACTGAAGAGGATCTAATTATTTATATAAAAAAAAAAAAAAAACAGGGAATGAAACGTTTGAATAAAAAGAATAAACAGAATTGTTTTAACTTATTTACGTGTATTTCACGACCTATTATCTGGCTATAATTGATATATATATGATATGTATATACATCTGGTCTGAAGCATGTATTCGTATATATATATATATATATATATATTTATGCTTTAAATTTAATATATATATATATATATATATATATATAATTATGTAATTGATTCAAATACTATGGGGCCGGGGTAGCCTTAGCGGGGGGCAAATTCGCTTGCAATGGGTAATCAAAGTTAAACGTCTTCCCTTCCCACCTTAGCTTTAGCGTTCCCTAAAATTATTTTCATGTAGCTTCGCAGTAATTTATTAAATACCAACTCCTGTTTATCATTAAATTCGTATGTAGCTTCATCATCACTGTCTCCGGTAGGAATAGTGTTGCCCAAAATCGGTCTTGGTCTTGCACTTTGCAAGACCAAGACCAAGGCCGCCTAACTGTTGCAAGACAAAGACCAGGACTGGTAAAAAAAATCGATTTTTTGAATAAAAATTAAGGCAAAATATTCACTAATATTTGATAAATTTAGTTAGTGTTAGTAGAGAATTGGTATAACCAATATACTTTTGCATTTAACTCCTATAATTTTTCATTCGGGCTTAATCAGGTGCCCCCTATATAACAAATTACAGTAATATCTGTATTTTAATTAGCTAATAAGTAACTGCAAGGCTGTTGCAAGATTCTTGCGCAAGACCAAGACCAGGACCAAGACCGTCTCGGTCTCGCTTGGGTAACACTAGGTAGGACAGTGTATGTTTATCAACGCGATTTTAATCCAACGCTCCTGCAATTTGGCCACCGGAATCCTATCACTAAAGAATTGTACGTCTCTCAAAGCGGAAAGAAATCTATTTCTAATAAGGAAACGAAGAAGGCAGTGGATCAGCTGATGAGAAGGTTGTCTCCTCAACTCCTCTCTCAGTTTTTACCAATTTTATAGCGAAATCTCTCTGATTATTCACGTGATACAGTTAAAGTGTATATTAGAGCAGTTGATATTTACTGTTGGCATCTTTTTTTTTTTGTTATTTATTTATTTATTTTTCTCTTATGATATGCGGTATGATCAGCAAGTGATGGCCAGTAAGGTGCCCAAGAGGTCTCGGTCAGACGGAGTTAGCTCACCAGCCAAACAAAGGACTCGTCGCTGCCTACGAGAAATACCTCCAGTGACCAAAATGAACACTTCAGAACCAGAACCTCAGCCCCAACCAGGTACGTCTGCACAAGAAACGATTGAAGAATCACCTTTCTTTACTCCAAACCCCTACCAAGTGCTTCAAAATGACAGAGAAGTAATGGAGTCTGCAGCAATATCCAGAGAACCAAAGCCTCCTCCGATATTTGTGAAAAATATAAAAAATTTCCAGATGTTCTGCACCCAACTAAATAAAATCTGCTCTGGCAGTTATTCATGCCTTAACAGGACCAATGACACCAAAATAACACCTGATTCTGCAGAAGCCTACCGAAAAATAGTGAAGTACTTATCAGAAACAAATGCGAATTTTCACACTTACCAGCTGAGGCAGGAAAGAGCTTTACGAGTAGTGATAAGAAATTTACATTCCTCAACCCCCACTGAAGTTATTAAAGAAGAACTAACGACGCTTGGTTTCAATGTACGCCAGGTAACAAACGTTTTGAAGGACGACAGGGAGCAGCCAGGATTACGAAATAGGATCCCACTACCATTGTTTTTCGTGGACTTGGAGCCATCACCAGGTATCGAAAAAATATATGATATCACAAGAATATACTACACAATGGTGAAAGTTGAGAAGCTATATCCCAAGAGAGACATCGTGCAGTGCCATAATTGTCAGACCTATGGCCACACGAAGACATATTGCCACCATCTGCCGCGTTGCGTGAAGTGCGGTGAACAGCACAAATCTGTAGAGTGCACCAAACCTATACAAGATCCAGCAGTATGTGCCCTATGCTTGGAGGGACACCCGGCCAACTACAAAGGCTGCCAAATTTACAAGAATCTCAAAACCAGACACCAGAAAAACCGGATTCAAGATGAAGCACTAAGAACAAGAAGAGAGAGAGAGCCTTCCAGAATTGTAAACAATGATGTATCATTCTCCCAATTACTTAGAGGTAAGACTTTAACCGATAAATGTCAAGCCCTGCCACAACAACAACCTCAAACCCAACCTCAAAATCCTCTTCATCCTAATATACCTAACCACCAACAACAAATTCCTCATATTCCTCCTCCTTCAAATGCAACAGATCTCACAAGTTTGTTAGCATCTTTCATCACCGATTTCAAATCCCTTGTTACTCCACTCATATCACTCCTCACGAATCTCGTATCTCACCTCATCCCTCCTTTGAAAAATCCTTAAATGACTCACATCCCTAAACCCATATCCATTCTCCTTTGGAATGCGAATGGTGTTAGAAATCATACAGACGAACTATCTACTTTACTACTTGACAAGAACATTGATGTGGCACTAATTACTGAAACTCGACTAACCACTAAACAGCACTTCAATATACCACAATACCTGACATATCGTACTGACCACCCTGACGGAAAAGCACATGCCGGTACTGCTGTAATTGTACACCAATCCCTCTCCGATCACGTACTCCCATTACCAATACATGATTTCCTACAGTCCACCGCTATCGTGATAAAAACCTTCTCCTTTCCGGTCACTCTTGCATCAGCGTATTGCCCTCCTAACCGCTCCGTATCCAATGCCCAATTCAGTTCTCTCCTCGACTCCTTAGGACATCACTTCATCTTGGGTGCAGACCTAAATGCCAAGCACCAACAATGGGGTTCCAGAACCACGAATTCTCGTGGCCGAACCCTGCTGTCTGCACTCAATTCCCAACGTTTTCACCTCCTTTCCCCCAACTCTCCTACCTACTGGCCCACAGATCCCAACCGTAATCCTGATCTTCTTGATTTCTTTATCCACAGCGGCTTAAGTCCTCTCAATTGTTCCATTACACGTCTAAATGAACTTCCTCCTGGATTAGAGGACTATGGTCCTCTGACCATAGTCCTCTAATCCTTAATGTTTCACTTGAACCTGTTCCCAAACCTTCTCCACCGTCATTCATTAGGGGCCCAGTAAACTGGGACCTTTTCCGCCAAATAATCTCCGATAATATTGATCTCAACATATCCCTCAAAACTCCCGATGACCTTGATAGTGCCGTAAATTCCTTTACTACCACAATCCAACAAGCCGCCTGGACTGCCTCCTTTCCAAAAGACTCCTCCAGAATTCCTATAAAGACCATTCTACCCCAACACCTCCTTAACCTAATCCGCACCAAACGCCGTGCCAGATTATTATGGCAACGTAAACGACATCCTACCGACCGCTGCTCCTATAATTACTACTGCAAACAATTAAAACTGGAATTAGCCACCTTCAGATCACAATCCTTCAACTCCTACCTATCCTCCCTCTCTTCTCGCGACAATTCCCTTTGGAAAACCACAACAAAAATCCTAAATCCTCACCGCATTTCCCATCCTCTCCGACGAGGTGATGGCTCCTGGGCAGCATCTGACGAAGATAAAGCTGAGGAGTTCGCCATTCACCTATCCAATACATTTATTTCACATCCGGAATCCCATCCTGCCCACACCGTAACAGTAGAAGAACTCCTTACATCACCAATCCCACTTTCCTTGCCCCCAAAAGCTATTCATCCTTCCGAAGTAAAATTTCAATTAAAAAAACTAATCCTCCGTAAAGCTCCTGGACATGATCTCCTTACACCTCAAATCCTCCGACAACTTCCATCCAAAGCAGTCATATTCCTTACATATATCTACAATTGTATCCTACGCACCACCCACTTCCCTCTGTTATGGAAACACTCCACTATTATCCTTTTCCCAAAACCAGGAAAACCTCTCAATAGCTCAACATCCTATAGACCAATCAGCCTACTCCCAATCCTTTCAAAAATTTTTGAAAAGATCCTTTTGAAACGAATCCTACCCATTATAGAATCCAAAAATATCCCTTCCCATCAGTTTGGTTTTCGCTCTCAACATTCTACTGTTCAACAAGGACTCCGAGTTGTTGATCATATTTCCTCAGCCCTAGAAAACAAGGAATACTGTTCGGGTGCCTTTCTGGACATTGGAAAGGCATTTGACCGGGTATGGCACTCCGGACTGCTCTCCAAGCTTAAAATCCATTTACCTCAGTCCTTGTACCTAGTCCTCCGATCCTACCTCTCTGACCGCTCCTTTCGAGTTCGCTGTGGAACAGAATTTTCC